TGGCATGCCAGCATCCTCGATGGGAAAATCCTTCAAAGTTCACCAAACAGAACAGAAGGCATCGCCATCGCCAAGTTTGCGCTTCTTTTTCTTTTTAATTTTGTTTTTTCTCTTTGTCAGCGGAATTGAGAGACGGCCAACATGGACATATGAAAGGAGGCAAAAAGGACAACAGGAAGGCAGGCCAACAGTCGAGAAGGACACAAGAATGGGTAGACCCTTGACATTTTGTAATCAAGCTTTGGGCGCTGAGATTGCATCTTATTGAGATGCTGGAATCACAACAAACTAATAAAGGAGGTAAACAAAAACTGAAATTTTCGATTTTCACAAACATATTACATGTATTCTGTATAAATATATATATATTTTCATAGTTTTTATTTTTTTTCTAATTTAAAATATAATTTCAAATTGAAATATGCTGGTATATACCTTCGGAAATTCTAATAAAGTATAGAATAGTATAGAATGAAAGCTAACTTAGGAAAGCCGAAAGGTGTATGCCCTTACAGTAATGCGCAATAAATCATAACAAAGCCAAAAATTTTATAAATCTCAATTTGTAAAAACTATTTTTTGTTGTATTTTATTAGGATACTAGTATAAGTTTTAATAGTTCCAAAAAATTCCAAATTTCATGTATTTTTCTATTTTTTATTCTAATTTTTCTCCAATGTTATTCTTTATTGAATAAGATTTTGATTGCAATTAGAAATATATAATACGAAATATAAATAAATATATAGAATAAGGCTTTAGGTAATCATTTGCTTTTTGGTCTTCGCATACCTCCAAGAAAATCTAAAATATCTGTAATTTAGTTATATTAACTCAATATTTTTATATGCTAATTTTTGGGTAAATTAAAGTTTTTCAAATATCATAACTAAGCCAAAAATACATTAATTTCAATTCGGAAAAATTATCTGTGTTAGTTTTTAGAAGGTTAACAAATCTGCAGATTTAGTTTTAAAATTACAACAAATTAAAATTTTTGTCAAAGTTTTATTTTTTTAACGATGTAACACCTTTTAAAATTATAAAAAAAATTAACAAAAATATTTTATCCTTTAAACTTAGCTAGATGAACTCGGATTTTGATGCTGATCACAAATATATATGATTTATAGGGTCGGAAATGACTCCATCACTGCGTTTGAAACTTTAGACTTACAATTTAATACCCTGCAAGGGTATACAAAGCTGTATGTGAAGTTGACTATACCTGTCATTTCCCAAGTACCAACTGAATATACATTATAATATTTTATAATATAAAATATATTCATAAACATTCCCTCACATAATATGCTTAATTCTAGCAAATTTCGAGCGCACTAAAATTACAAATAAAGGTCAAACAATTAATTAGAAATGTATATCAACTCGCTGGGAAATTATAAAACAAATTGGACACCTGACACGCCGCTAAACGGGTTTCATGGAGCACTCCATGGATTTATTGTCCGCTTTTTGGCCATCTTCCCCAGCCATATTCCTTTCTTCCTTCCAGTACAGCCAACTTTGGTAAGCTGAGACGAAGAGGCCCAGAAAGAGCACACGTTGCCCTCGCCACAGGCATCTCCATCCTGCCCGCACATTCCTTCTCCTGGATGTCCTGAAGGCAGGAAGGAATCCTCAGCTTAGAGGGCTGCTGCTGCTTCGTCCCCAAAAATAACTAACCCCCGAAGAGCTCTCCTGGTCCACGGAAGTTTTATGCGGATAGCCAAAAAGGGGGAAAAATGGAATGCTCGGACACGGACACAGACTACGGGAAAAATCAACGACTACGACGACGGTGGCGGCGACTCTGTTGTGTGTCTGGCCGCCTGCGCCCTCATTCTTATGCCCAATTTTCCCATTTTCTCCATACAAACAACAAAAAAAAAGCAAGAACAAAATTTGCCACCCACCTTTGGCATACACAGTGGAAAATTCACACCGCATAATATTAAACTCAGAGTCACGTACGATTTATTTGCCAATGGTTAACGATTGTGTGCAAGGGAATTAGCCAGTTTAAGTCCGGAATTGATGACCAAAACATTGACGACAGATATTGAAAAAAAAATACGTTTAGATGGACAAAAACAACCCCTGTAGGTGAATATTACAAGGCAATAGATGGAGAGTTTCTGTGAGAAATTGTGGTTATTTTATATATACTTAGAATGTGATACTAAAAACATGGGTTAGCATTAGGATTTTTGAAAGAATATGTTAATATGAAAGAGTCATAGAGAGTTTATACTATAAATTGATTATAAATTGTCAAATTTCTTGAACCCCTGTAGGTGAATATTACAAGGCAATAAATGGAGAGTTTATGTGAGAAATTGTGGTTATTTTATATATACTTAGTATGTGATACTAAAAACTTAGGTTAGCATTAGGATTTTTGAAAGAATATGTTAATATAGAAGAGTCATAAGAGAGTTTATACTATAAATTGATTATAAATTGTCAAATTTCTTGAAAATCATTATCAAAGCAGTTGCCAAAAGCAATCTAGAAATTAGCAAAACAGATTTATGTGAAACAATACAATACTATGTACTTTTTACTATATAACAAGTATTTAGTAAAATTAATAAAATCCTATTAAAAGCTAAAGTTACTTGCAAGCGAAAAATCCTACATGAACTACTAGTTGATATTATAGAATTTTGATTTATCCGCTTATATAATATTTATATTTTTTAATCCAAAAACTAAAAGATAAATCAAATCCTAAACATTCACATCTATCACAAAAAATTAATATACCAAATCCCTAACATTTATACATTTATAACTATCACTCTAAACAAGTTTATAAATCAAATCAAAATTAATATAATCCTTAATCTCATTTAAGAATCTCAACATTCTAAATTCTTCGCAATATCTAATTTTTAACCTACTATTTCTTCCTGTGTTCTTTTCTAGGCATTGCTGTTGGCAGAAACAGAAACAGCATGCGGCATCACAGAAATTTCGGTCTATTTTTATCACTTTTTGTACGGTTTTATTTTTTTTTTAATTTACCACCCTCTTGCCATTTGTTTTTTTCTGTCATTTTTTCGTCATCTCATTTTGTTAAACGTTAATTTTCATTTAAATTTTTTTTGCAAAAATCATTCACACTTGTAATCATTCAAAGCATTTAAGTTGAACGGCGATGGGGATGACTTTCTATCGTTAACATCGGAAATCTTGGGGGTTGGTTATCATTGAGTTTTAAAGCTTTCAAGACGCTAACGCTTCTAGTTTTTGGGGTTGACATTTAACCAATATTTTATTTACTAAGTGTATACAAAAAAAAACAATAGATATAACATGAAAAAGCCCCCATAGAAATCTAAAATAAGTAAAGGAAATATTAAAATAAAAAGGAACATATTCAATGACTTTTAAATAAAGTATTTAACGACATAGAAAACTTTTAAACAGCAAATGATAATATTATCTTATAAGGCAAAAAGGATTTATTAATCATTTCACATACTGATTGTAGTTTATTTATATTAAGTTACACACAATATATTTATGATTTATTCACTCCTTGATTATTTATATGATTTCTTCTTTATCATTTTCATTAAATTTCCATGAATCAACACTTTGACCTAATGAAATGACGATGATTTATTTTCTACAATTAAATCAAGCTTCTGTGATTTATTTACCACTCTTTGAGTGTTATCAAACATACGGCAGGCAGAGTAATTAATTCACTTAATCGCCAGCTTTGCCTTTTTATCGAGTCATGGATTAAAAGCAAATTATTTTCCTGTGATGAGGTTGCTTTCGAACTGCAAAACCCATTTCAGTTTTCAATTTTCGTTTGTTTCTGCGAGCCTCTTCTGCTGTGTCTACATTTTGGCTAAACTGCAAGCCAAACGGTTAAATCAAAAAATGTTTGGAAAACCGAGCCGTAAATATGAAACTGACCAAGATAAGCGTCAACACAGAGAGAAAATATATCAGAAATCAATCAATTTATATTTTATTACATTTTTTTCGGTAGTGTCTAAACTGTTAAGTATACACCTCGGACCAGAACTTGACTTAACTATGGTTTTATTCATATAATTATTCAATTCCTCTCAAAAGGAAGCAGTAAGTAACTATGATCAGTAAGTAACTCTGAACAATAGGTACCTATGATCACTAATTAACTATGAGCAGCAAGTAACTATGAGCATTAAGTAACTATGATCAGTAAGTAACAATGATCAGTAAGTAACTCTGACCAGTAAGTATGTATGATCAGTGATTAACTTTGAACACTAGTAAACAATGACTTGCAACTTTGTAACACAACACTTTCCTGAGACCAGGCCAGAAGAAGTCACTTCGTTCCGGGGATGTTAGAACAAGTTGGGAATCATATGCACGGATGTGCGAAATTTGTTTTGGAACAAATTTAAGCTATTTAAAGAAAACTATGGAGTTATTCTTCTATATAATTTTACTGGTAAATAATTCGGAGCATGGCGAATCGGTGGACTATATATATACATATATATAGCTGCCATAGGAACAATCGGAAAATTTTTAGAAAAAAAATTATAATTATAACTTTTCCAGTTTTCAACAGATTATATATTAATCTAAATTTTGTGTAAAATTTGATGAAAATCGGACTACAAAATACCGCAAATATATCCAATATAAAGATTTAAATTGATATTTTTAAATGATAAATCTTTTCGGTAAATATAAACATCATAAATATGCCAAAATACATTCATTTAAATTCAGAAAAAAGGCATATTGTTTTCTCATGGACATGGGTAGGATGGACAAGACGATTGATACTGATCAAGAATATATATGATATTATAGATAGCAAACTTCCAATATTATATGAACCTCAAGGGTATTAAAATATATCAAGCTATTTGAAATATTGTTCCAAAAATTTCACAAATGCTGTATTAATTTTAAAATCAAAAACGTATATATTTAATTTTAAGCTAGTTTTAATTAAAAAATATTAAACAATTACTTACCGTTAGTTTTTGTTGCCAGTGCGATGCTGGCTGCAGTCGGGCGTCGCTGCTGACGCCACTGACGCTGCTGCTGCTGCGGTGGAAAAGTTGGCAACTTTGACGTTTTCTTCGCTTTTCGTTCCTCGGCTTTGGGGCTTTGGTTTAATTTTTTCTGTGGTTTTTTTGGTTAACGCTTTTCCACTGCGTCGACGTCTTCTTGTTATACTTTATGGTTTTTATTTTTGCGCTGCTTCGCTTTGGTTGCACTTTAAAAGAAATTTTTCAACATACAAAAAAAATTGAGAAAAAAGTTTCACGCATGGCTTCATTAGCATGATTATTGTTGCTTTTCTCTTTCACACTTTCTCAAATGAGATGGCGATAGAGAAAATGCAGAGAGAGAGAGAGATAGAGAGAGAAAGGGAGAGTGAGAAGGGGAAAACACTACTAAGTAAGCTGATATTGAAGGAATTTGTTAAATTCAATTTGCACTTTTACGCAAATCGCTATGTAAAGTCAAACATAAACCGAAGCTTTTCGAATTTACTTTCAAAACAAATTTCCCTAGCAAAAGATAAAATATGTAGGTGTATAGGTATTTTCAAGAATTAACTACAAGTTCGTATTGAAAATTTCCTAAACTACACATTAAGAAAGGAAAACTAAAGGTATATCTAAGCTTGAGCAACAGCTATGTATCTTCAAGTTTGCTTCAATTTATGTCTTAAGTTGCGAGCATCTCACAGTTAAGTTACTAACAGTAGGAAAAAGTATTTCTTCCTTCTTATTACCTAAAAATAATAATCTTCTATTTTCCGGTCCCTAAGCCATTTTCCTTTGGTTGGATTTAAGCTTAGCTTAGTTAAAACCAATTTGGTTAAGAGTTAATATTATAATCACTTTCTGTTGAGCTTTAGTTAACACTTTAATTAAAATACATACTAATCTCGGATTTAAATTGGATATTTCATAATAGAATAGTATATTTATATGGAAACTTAATGTTTCCATGTACAAAATTGTAAAATAAGGAGGTCCAAGAGTTTTTTGTACGTTGAAATTTAATTTAAACAAAAAAGGAAAGTAAATTCGAAAAGCTGAAGTTTATATATCCATGCAGTTTGGCAATGTATTATGGGATAGAATCGAAAATCCATCATAACATCATCTTTGAATCAATTTTTAACAATATATATTTATAAGATAATACTTATCAAAAAGTTTTAAAAACGAATAGCTACGCCAAAATTAACTTTAATTTTAACTTGGCAAGCTTTCGTATGTTAGATTTTACTAGGTTAATAAATCTGCTTAATTAATTTGAAATTTAGAATGATGATGCTAGCGTAAAATATGTTTCTCATAATAGATAGATATTTTACTTTTCTTGCTAAATTAAAAAAAATATATCAATATCATCTCCATCCTAAAATATTCTTAATTTCATTTCTAAATACTCCTAAAGAGGATGCGCTTCTTAATTAGCTCGCCTGCTGCCGTTTACGGGATTGGCTTTATCTCGTTTACATCATCGCATCTCATAGGCGAGTACACCCAATACCGAGTAACGGGATTCGGGCAACGAGAGCCACCGCGTACCGTTATGCGCTTGCCGTGAAGGCTGCTGCCGCTGCTTCTGCCGCTGCTGCTGCTGGTGCTGCATTTAATGAGCACGAACTTTCACCCCGCCGCAGCGCAACTGAAACCGAAACTGAAACTCACATCTTGGGATATACGAATGCGCTTGTACATGTATATGTATGTGCAAGAGCGACGGCCTTGTCGGTTAATTACCGGCGACCGGTAATGCGGCCGCCTCGCAGTTCGCGTCGCAGCCTTAATCCGAAACCGTTATAGCGGGATTAAGTCGGCGGTGATGCTGCCGTGTTTCAGGTGTTTCAATGCGCGCGGATCGATAAATGGAAAATAAATAGTGCCCACCCCTACACTTCTTCATTCTCCCTTCTCCCTTCTCTGCTCTCTTTTGCTTTACTTTTATTTACCATTTCGCTTTTCTGCAGTTCTTCCACCTTCCGTTATTTTTGGCTATTTTCAGCGGCACACAACACACGGTTTAACACAAACACACTAACGCACGCACATATACACATAGATGTATGTATTGGAAGCAGCACTACGGCATTACAAGACGACCATCAGCATCCAAGGAAATTCCAATTGGCACTTGCTCCCTCTGCCGGCGTCGCAGTCGCCAATGCTGCTGCTGTTGTTGCCATTACTTCTTGTTCTCCTCCTTTTTTCATTTGCACTCTCTCTTTTCTTTAATTTACACACGTTTGTTTACGTTCTTCATGGCATTGTCTTCAGCCGATTAATTGCAACTCATCCGTGTCTCCTGAGCTGGCGGCCATTGCGTGAGAAGCTGGGCTTAGACATGCGCCTAAATTTATTGTATGTTTCATTCACAGACCGACCCGCGTTTGCATTTGTTTTCGACGGAGACGCGCGCACGCCGCGGTATCATTTGGTGGAAAAGAAAGCGGTGTCGACCGCGACCACCGTATTTCCAGTTGGACGAAAGCTCGAAGTGAAATGAAGCGCACACAGAAGTAGGGTTGTTGAAAATATATCAAAATACCAAAATATCGATATTTATTTCGTGATTTTTACTTTAAAAGTGGCCAGATGGGTAGAAATAGAGTAGCCATATCGAACAGGAATATCGATAGCCAGTGCCCAGCGAACAAAACTGTTAAGTTGCATACAGTCATGGTAAGAATATTAGTAACGAATCAGGTTTTGTTGTTTTATGTTATCACGACTGTAATGTTGTTTTTCAGGAAATTAACAGACTTTTGAAATCAAAAACCTAATTAAGCATACATACTTAATAAACTATTATCATTTATTAGACATAAAGAAATATGTTAAAGCTCACTATAGTTTTGTGGTCAAAGATCCAAAGAAATCTCCTTAATTACACATTGTGAGCATACAAAACTATATATTATACCTATGATATTATGATTCTTAACAGCTAGGACAGACATAGAGGATGCAAATATCACACGGCTAGACATAGGGATTCCAGTTGCTGCCATCCTCCGGCAGCAGATTGTTGGTCACCAGCAGGATGACATCGATAATCCACCAGACGCCCACACCGCCCATAGTGAGCAGTTTGCCAACGGCAGTTCCCGTCTGGCCCAGGCAGAAGCGGTCCATGCCAAGGAAGCCCAGGAGCATGCTGTAGATGAGTGTGGTGACGAAGTAATGGTCTGTGTAGCGAACGCAGGGTACTCCCTCGCGGTAGAAGGTGCGATTGCCATAGCAGTCTATGTCCGCGTACACGGTGCACTGCACCTTCGTGTGCTCCACATCCTCGTAGGTGGATCCACCGAATTTCAGGCAGCCGTAGCCCTTCTCCCGCTTGGCGGTGGCGTTCTCCCGGTGATCGATCGGCTCCTTGCACTCGAGGAAGTCGCGCGGCAGGAAGGAGCACAGCACATTGGGTCCCAGCGGATGGAAGGCCGAGTTCGAGGAGCCAGCGGCTGCGGAGGAGCCAGAACCAGATCCAGACACGGATCCCGTCGCCTGCACTGGCACTACCGACTGCACCGCCGTGCCCGAGACGACAGTCTGTGGCTGCTCCTTATCGCTGCGCGCCTGGATGGCCCCAGTGGTCGGGATGATGGCGATGATAACAACGAACAATGACGCAGATAACGCGTACAAAACCAACCTTCGCCGCATCTCGGCAATATTGTTATTTGCGATATTATTATTATATTATTACTTGCATACCCGCCGATCAGCTGTGCGGGTTTCTGGTGATGCCACATCGCGAGATTCTATCGGTTGCGGTAGCTATCGTTTGTTTTTAGAGTGGCTTCAATAAAATATGCGACTTATATATGCTGGCTTTTTAACACTCTATCGCATTTATGTTTCAATAGCTTTTCCACAGGAACAAAAGTAATACTTTTTTAAAAATGCATAAATGTTATATGCGCAAATTCAAATATCGACCAAACGGGGGTATCGATATATCCGTAATCGATGTGCCGCCACCGATGGTGGGCCACCATTACAATTTTCCCATTTTTCAGAACAAAAACAACGTAGATCTAGGAACGACGACGTACTCCGCTAGATTTTTACGGAACGGAACGTAGCGACGCGTCATATTCCCCCATTTTGTTTTTGTTTCGTTCTCGCCAGCACCGTGACTGGTCACTTTGCAGAGCTGCCTTTGTCACACGATTTTCCACGGGAGTAGGAGAAACCAAGCCGAAATGAAACTGTTGCTGCTGGTGGCAGTGGCCACCGTTATGGTGGTCCTGGCCTTTGGCGAGGACTCGTCGCCGTCCATGCTGTCGGATGAGTTTATTGAGCTGGTGCGTCGCAAGGCCAAGACCTGGACGGTGGGCCGTAATTTCGACAAGTCTGTGAGCGAGGAGCACATCCGCGGCCTGATGGGCGTACATCCAGATGCGCACAGGTTTGCGCTGCCCGAGAAGCGTGAGGTGCTCGGCGAGCTGTACCAGGGTGCCAAGGATATACCCGAGGAGTTTGATGCCCGCAAGGCCTGGCCGAATTGTCCCACCATTGGCGAGATCCGTGATCAGGGCTCCTGCGGTTCGTGCTGGGCCTTTGGCGCCGTCGAAGCCATGTCCGATCGGGTGAGTCTCTCTTTCTTCTGGCTTATCTCTGTGTTTTGTGTATTTGTTCTTATCGATACGCAGCGATAAGATAGATCCTCCTTTGTTATATTAATTTACGCTTCAATTTTGAACCCAGGTGTGCATCCATTCCCAAGGCAAGGTGAATTTCCACTTCTCGGCCGATGATTTGGTGTCCTGCTGCCACACCTGCGGATTTGGCTGCAACGGTGGCTTCCCGGGAGCCGCCTGGAGCTATTGGACGCGCAAGGGAATTGTCAGTGGAGGACCCTATGGCTCCAATCAGGTAATAAGTAATATCAATCGAAGAAAAATGTAAACAAAAAGCAGTAATTAGTTCATAGATAAAATGCAATCAAGTTGTCATATTAATTTAAATCTTGGAGTACCTTTCTCACAAATTACAAAGTACAAAAATTACTAACAATGCATTGAACAACTTTCAAAGCTTATCACTCACTTGTCCTAGTATTAACATAAAAACCTTGCCTTTATATTTCTATTCATTTGCATTTTATGACAATTTGCCCTTGACAAAGATAAAACATTTGTATATATGCACTTTGGCGTTTTTAAATGCACTTTGCTTATATACAAATTCTAAGTAGAAACTGATTAACAAAGGAAATTAATCACAGCTTGATAAAACTTGTGAGTTATGGAATTAAAAGAAATATGTATCATCATGTGACTTAATTCCTATAAGGGACTGCAATTCCTCTTCATAGTTACTCAGTCTTAATGTTTTTAATTCTTTACATTTGCAGGGCTGCCGTCCCTATGAGATTTCCCCTGTGAGCACCATGTGAATGGAACCCGACCGCCCTGCGCCGGCGGCGGTGGCACTCCCAAGTGCCAGCACCTTTGCCAGAGCGGTTACAAAGTGGAGTACTCCAAGGATAAGCATTTTGGATCCAAGTCCTATTCTGTGCGTCGCAATGTGCGTGACATTCAGGAGGAGATTATGACCAATGGCCCGGTGGAGGGAGCATTTACAGTATACGAAGATCTCATTTTGTACAAGGACGGCGTCTATCAGCATGAGCACGGCAAGGAGCTGGGCGGTCATGCCATTCGCATTCTCGGCTGGGGTGTTTGGGGTGAGGAGAAGGTGCCCTATTGGCTAATTGGTAACTCCTGGAACACCGATTGGGGCGATAATGGTTTCTTCCGCATTCTGCGTGGCCAAGATCATTGCGGCATTGAGAACTCCATTTCAGCAGGTCTTCCCAGGCTGTAGATAGACCAGGAATACCAGCTTATCCGCTAATATCAAGTGTTTATTTTTTATTCTTATTATTTGCATTCCAAAGTTCTCAAAAATAATGACGAGTCTATGTATGTAGCTAATATTCTATGTCAACAATATAAAACCTGATTGATAATAAAGTATTGTATATGTCTAAATGGATAACATTAATGGTTTTAAATAGGTTTTCTAAAACCTACTTTGGTTAAAAGCATATGCCTACCTATACTTTGTTTTTCTATTAAACAAAAATCATTTTTAATTCAAGTCAATTTTTTAAGAGAAGAAGAAACACTCAACATAAGGGAATGGAATATTTATTGTCATATTTCTAGCTCATCTGTTTCTATATACTAAACTCTTTAGCTTTCAATCATTCAAGCCCTTTGTTCGCATTTTTGCATGTTGAAAATCTGATTAGCGCCTCAATTGATTAATCAAACAATGAGTACAGTTCGCTCGAGTTCATCGCTTGTACACACATATATAATATATATAAGTAATATAGAACGATTTATCGGATTACTCAGTACCATTCCTCACACGATAATGTTAAAAGCAAAACTTTCAATGTAAACCGCTCATCAAAAGAAAGAGAAACAACTAAGTAGACATACTTTCCCTTTGAACAGAATACTGAGAATCAAAATAGGAATTATTATATATAATAAATATATAATGTTACGCATGCTTTATGTATTTAATTTAAGAACATTTTCCATATAAATTATATCCAGTAAATTTTTAGTTTTTTGCTTAGCTCAGCGGCAAGCTGGCTTATGCGCCATAAGTGCTTTCATTCCAAAGTGATTATTTTGCATTCTGTCTTGAAATAATGTTCCGATTGTTCCTATAACTGGTTATATATAATATAGACTGTACAAAATTTGTCAGAAAACTATCTATAGTATAAAATCATATGACATACTTTAATCAACAAAACGCCCATTAAAACAAATTTCAATTTTTTCACATAGCATGTTTTTATTAATTTATTTTTCTCATTTGCAACACATCAAATAGAACATTTTTTTTTAATGTTTTCCTGTTTTTATTTGTTCATAAACCGCCTTGTTTTTGGGATCTATGAACTTTGAAATGATTAACTGTGTATGTAGGCTACGTACATAGTTTTTACTCGATCGATCTTTCTCTAACAAACAGCGCTTACACATCGAAAAATATTTTTTAACTGGCCTTTAATTCAGTTTTTTTTTTTTACTTTTTATTTAATTTATGTATGTACACACAGATACAATTGCAACAATTGGCAATTGAAGAGGACTTCTGTTCGGGGTATGTACATACATATATGGTAATTTATACGTCATTATAATGCACATCTTTAGCTTATCTCTCTCAATTCATGGGTAGTATCTGCCTATGCCTCGCCTTACATATTTCTATATATGAATTTGTGTATGTATATATATTTATATTCATTTGTAAATAGATTGCATTTGGCTTTGCTCCGCATTTTTTTTATATTTTTTGTTTTGTCTCTTGTTTTTGTTCTGCCTTTGTTGTAGAGTTTTGTTGTCAATAAATAATTCCTTTGCTCGCCTTGTTCATTATCTCAATTCGTATTTGTTATTCCTGGACTTTTGCACTTAATAATTAACATTCATACATATGTACATCATGTATTTTCGTATATATGTATGTTTAACCTTTCTATTGTTTTTCATTTGAATCTTTGAGTTATTAATTTTGTTGTTCGTGGTTCTGGGGCTTTGCTGGGATGGCTTATCATCTGAATGGTGGGTTTTAAAAATACATTTCAATTTAATTTCCCTCAACGCTTGGCTTCATTGGGGAGCTGTTTGTTGTTCTCGATATTCTTTATCTTTTATAGGATTTGGTCAGAGGGCGGAAATCAGAGAATACAGTCGCATAGAATTTTAAACTAGCTTTAGACAAATAGCGAATATCTTCGGCGAAAGTTCAGATATCGATCTGAAACTTTAAAAACATAAACTTGAAACTAACATAAGCTATTGTGGGAAATTTGTAAGATTTAACTATTCATTTGACTATATAAGCTCTGGGTAAATATTGTATATCTTTGACAAAATATTGAAACTTCAAAAACATGTGTTTAGCTTTGAGTTCTTAATTTGTAGAAAATTAAAATTGTGATCAAGAAAACTATCTTCAAGCCAAGAAAGTTCGGTTTAAACAGGTTGATATTTACTTTAAACAATATCAAAAAAGAAATCTAATTTTATGGATTTTCAAATAAGTTTATCTCATTAAAAACAAAATTCTCTAGACTTTATAAAACAAAACTAATAAAAGAGATATAGAATAGCTACTTTTAGGAATGGCATTATGTTTTCATGGTTTTATATCTACTACGACTTTTGTTGCCTTTAATTTTTTTAATGCTTTTCTCAAGCTTGAGAACCAACTTGCTACATTTCGTATGTACTTATTTAGGATAAACTCTCTATACCAAAATTATGCCTTATGCTCTATGTGGATATTCCATTGGTTTTTGTATTTTACTAGTTTCGTTTCGTCGCTACAAAAGAAGCAAGAACTATATCAATTATAAAGACGAGAGTTTAAAGTCGACTCAGATGGAGAATAGAGGAACGTTTATAGCCGGGCAAGACTTTGATCGGAACATGGAGGTGTTCCCCAGTAAGCAGGATGCTTTTACAAGTCCTTATTGTAAGAAGTTGGGCTAGATAAATTCACTGCATACATAAATATAGTGAATATCCCTAAATACAATCACTCTGAGTTTAGAAAGTGACTCTCAACTCATGTCGAGAGTTTAACAAATTGTGGTTTAGTCAAAGGCCATATAATTATAAGAGGTGTAACGCCAAAAGCCAGAGATGTATAAGCGTTACATCACTTATTATTATAATTCCTTTGGTTTAGGTATGCACCACCTTTTTGGGGCTATTCTTAACCTGCTTTGATCTGAGTTTCCTGGATTCCCAGTATTCCCTTAGTATTTCTGGTTTATAAGTTCTCTGTGTGGAGTGGTTTTAGTTAACTTGTGTGGACAGTACATAACTATGTTATGCTTACATAGTGGTAAATACATATAGAACTACATACATACTGTATACGGGTCATACATATATGTACATATATGCAATGACCCCTTAACTTCATCAGGTCGCCTTGAGTTGTTTGTTTTAGGTTTCTATATATAATACGAGTAGCTTTCGGTTTGATCTCATCTCGAACTGAAATTTGGTTTCGGTTTTGGTATCACAAAATCGGTTGTTTTTTTTTATGTTTACACAATATCCATAGTTTCTACATATAATTGTAACATTAACTTTGTGAAAGTAATTTCCTCGAATTTCATTTTCTTTCTCAATAACAATTTATGTATGTAAGTAGAAGGTATATATATATATGATTTCAATTTTTTGGTTTACCTTTGTAACCTTTTTCTTGGGTAGCGAAAGACTCTATCACAATTATGGAGATTTTTAGGTTTCTGGGGGGGCCAAAGTGTTTAGAGATTGTAATCATTTCCATGACGGTTTCTTTTCAAAAACTTTAGGTTTTTCTTGTTGTCAATTTTACACGCACACACATAAGTATATATATATATATTATTTGCATTTTTGTAGGTTTTTAGTTTGATTTACGGAAGCCGTTAATTTTTTAACACGTTTGTCGTGGTTTTGTCAGGAAATGCATTGAATTTTGCCTTTTTGATTCAGCCGCTTTTCCTTGTCCTACGATTTTGAGTTTAGTTTTTATTTATTTTTGGTGTCTTGTTTCGGTTGCTTCATATTCCTTGGGAGATCTTCGGTTGCATTATTAATTAATTAGTTTGTCCTTCAATTTGTTGTTGCTGTTGTACCTTTTGAACTTTGTTCGCTTGCATATGTTAAACGCTTCTATATTTTGAATATATATATTCTTCTTGCATTGTATGTATATATATATCTTTTACAATTGTTTTTTAGTATCTGCATTTGTTCCATTTTGTTTTTTTTTAATATTTTTCATGTAGTGTTTTCTTTTTTGTTTTTGTTTTTTTTTTTGCTTCAAGTGGTTTGAAAAACCATCAAGCAACAGGAGGAAACAGTCTTTCTTTCCAGGTACCTAGGGGGAAAAAGGAAAAAGAAAGCATTAGTATATAGAAAAATCTATTTTGAATGATGGTTAATTGATCAGCTTCCTCTATCTGTAAGATTCTTTATCTTGGCTAGTTTAATTTCTTCAAGTTTTCTTCAAGGCTATCTTCAAGGATCTTAGCAGGAAAAGATGAGTAACGCCTTATTGGCTTTACACAATTACAATGTATGGACGTTATGCATCTTGTTTTTATAAGATCCTTGCTATCATCCTGCTATATCTAATCATATATGTTAATATATCAGTCTTGAGGAGTACAATTTCTATATATTATCTATATTATATGGGGTTAGTTGTGAATACTCACCGCGTGACACATTTGACTTTGGTTAAATGTTGTACAATTGTTTTTTATCTCTTTTGCAATTTTGTTTTTCGATATACATACATAATATATGCTGTGTATATATTACATCATTGAATTCGCAATATATATATATATATTATTATTTTTTGTGATGTATGCATATACACAGATGTGGCATATGGAGTCATCGGTGTTGTTGTCCTTACACTCGTTTTGCTAGTTTTTCAGATGTGTTGCTGCTCTATTTCAAAGGGAATGCAGGATATATAAGCCGATATAACGATGTATATCGGGGGAGACTCTCTCTATCGAAGTGCTGTTGGGGGAGTTTTATCGCTTTATTTTTTTAGATCGGTTAGAGCATTCTACTTGCTCTCTAGTGGTGGCTCAGGTAAGTCTTGCGCTTCAGGTAACCACTGCGTATGGGTGATGATAGTCCCGTCTCGTTGCTGTTGTTATCGTCGATGGCACGTGTGTGTGTGATGTGTGTATGTGGGTGTATTGTGTTGTGTTTATTTTTCAAGCAAATTTTGTTGGTTTTTTTTTTTTCAAAAAAAGAGAGACAGAGTTAAGGTTGAGAGAGAGAAAGAGAGAGAGAGTTGAATTTTGGTTCTACATAGGTGGGAAGAATTTTTCAATTTTTAATTATTTTTTTTTGTTCTGTTCTTGCTGCACAACACCAATCAATCAGTCAATGTATCAATCAATCAAATGCTCAGCTAGGTATTTATGCTTTTTTAAATACATAACAAAATATTCAACTTAAGGGAATGTGTTGGTATATTTATATGTAGGAAACGCTAATACTAACACCAATAGTTTTTTTTTTTGTTTTTTGGTTCTAATTGTTTACAAGGTGCTTCTTTTGTTTTTTGTTGCAATATATCAAATTGCAATGCTTATGATTACCAAATCATTTGTTTAACTCGCAATTCAATTCAATTTTCATTCGTTGCTTGTTCATGCAGCCTGATTACAAGTCGGTGCGTGTTTGTGAGGTGTAATTGGAGATCGTGGGGAGTATGAAATATTGTCAGCGTGTGGTGGTGTTGGTGAGTTTCGAGGCATGAAAGCGTTGTTTTTAAAGCGATTTCGGTTTTTGTGTGTTTCGTATTATCAAAAAAAAATCAAGAAACAAACAAAGAAAAGATACAAGTCGTAATCGAAACATTATAAATCATATACCATATACTATATATATGTATATTTCTAGGAAACTATTACTGTGCTTCGGAAATATCTCTCTATAATATCATCATCATCTTATGTAGCTTTTTTAATTTTATTGTATTTTAGGTTTTTTTGTTTGCAATCAAAATAATATCAATACATAAGGATACATACATCAAGGCAATAATTATAATAGCAATACAATCATAATACTAGTTTGAATAACAATAATAATAATTGTAATAAGAATAATAATACTAATAATAATAACTAATAGTAATAACTTATACATGGTATGCATGTACGGCATTTGTTCTAGGCAAAAACTTAACACAAAATACGATTGGTGGCGGGGGACTAGTGTTTTTTAGACTTCTCATTTATTAGTTAAAATGATTAAAAATAGATTCTAGGCAGCCGGCGTATCCTTTTCAATGGCATTCTCAATCAGCTGAGCCAGCAGATTAAGATTACTGCTGTTGGCACTGCCGGGACTATGGATGTTGCTGCCACCGCCGGAACTACTGATGTTGGCCAATTGCAGCTCGAAAGCATTGCTGCCATGGGAAATTGGCAAGGAGAAAGTGCATGAGATTAGGTTGGGAATAATTTTGATATCTGACAGGAGAGAGATTATTAATCCCAAGCACCCACAGGAGGCGTGCACACACAACAATAATTAATCGGAGATCACACAGCCAATGGAGTATAAATTAATTCTGGACTCTTAATGGGGTTATGCCAAAAACAAATCATATAATATACAATATAAATAAGTAAGATGCATAAGGCGCATTGATCGTAATCGTATGGCTTTACCAATCTTATTTGTTCATATTCTCCTAGACAATGCTTAATGATTTCAATGATAAAAGGCAAAACATAAAGGCTGCTTAAATTTAATAACAAAAGACATAAACATAAAGCGTACAACAATAAAGCCATATACATATAATGCCATTAGCAATACATACATAAATTATCGTTTATCGATTATATAGGTGAAATACCTAAAAACTAATAGTAACTTTTGCATAATATCTGCTCTTTGTAGGAGCTTTCTTGGCTAATATAATCCTGGTTATTTCTCTTGTTTGTAAAGACACATTTTGGTATTTTAACTTAAAAAAATGATAGTATTTAAGTTTCTTTTTAGAAAATTTCCAAGGCAACGATGGTTATTTTAATTAATACTTCTACTATGTATAGAGGTGACATAAATAAATCCCTTGAATCAAGTAACTAAAAGTATTCTAGAAAATGTTGCATTAAATAAACACTAAATTGGGTCAGTTTTAAAGAAAATCGTGGCTATAAGGCACTCCCCACCCTATAACAAAGTTCCTTATTCTCTTAGGATAACAACTCTTAGGATAAAGTGCACATATAATGTGATGTGTGTCACATATCAATATACTTTCTAAATTTCTGATATGTGTACATTCTTATAATAAATTCAAAATTTGCAAAACATTTATATTCCCTACTTAAGGTCATACTTTTCAATGGAAACCCCTAAAATAAATCATTTAAACCTCTTATATCACCTTTCAAAATAGTTAAAGACATGCCCTGTTTTCCCTGTTCTTTGCCTTTTGCTTTGGTTAAATCTGTTTCTGTTAATATTTACAAATTAAAATATAAGTTAGTGTTTCAAATAAATACGTAAGCTCCTTACAATTACGTTTGTTCGACAAGCTATGGACATTAATAAATACACTGCACAAAACACATAACAAAAACGTACATCGAATGCATATTGTCATAATTTACACTAAACATATACATATATACTATATATATAGTGGGTGCACACTTCCATCTTACCTTCTGCGTCGCGGATTTGCCGTCTGTCCGGGTAGATTAAAGCAGCCACGTGGAATGACCATGCGAGCATTACCCTTTGCCGGTCGAGAACCTCCCACGGCCTGCAATCCGGAGAGATGAGCGGCATAGCCATCGCTCAGCACGGTGGCATTAGCCTGCAGTTTCTTGCTCACCTAAGGGAGAGATTACTTGTATTAGTTATCCATTGAAATCCTTAATACACCTTACCTTGCCCACTATAAATATCTGATCGGTTCGCATGCCCACATTGGTGTAAACACTAATGTCCTTGCTGCTGCCATAGGCGGCTGTAATTGAGATTCCATGGTTCTGCACCAGATTATTGAGATAGGCCGTCTTATGGCCCAGTGGATCCGTGGACAGGCCATCGGCGAACGAGATCAGGCCATGGGGAAAGTTATGCTGGCTTAGCCAGGAGACAACGCGCTGCTGCTGCATATCCGGTCGCCCGGTGATGTAGATAAGCAAATATCCCAGTTCCTGCCAGTGGCGGCAAACATCGACGGCACCGGCACGCACCTTGGGATCACGACCCGTCACCGACATGGAGGCCGTGAAGGAGCCATCGATGCTAAAGACAACGCATTCCGTCAGAGGCGGCACCACGGCCATATAGCAATCAACCGAAGTGTGATCGCCGCGTACGACCATCTTCACCGGATAAATGCCATAGCCGAGGGACACCTGATCCGGAATGCTATACGAGATGCGTCCATTCTTATCCGTCACTTCGGTACTAAGGAATGTCCACTCTCCGGCCGGTGGATCCTTCATAATATGCACATCAACCTTCTCGCCATGCAGAGTGATCATATCCAAGGGACCGTACATGAATCTGGCATTCAAACGTTGCTCCCTGCCCTCCTGGACAATCACATCGTTGGCCCGATGATTGGCCGCCACATTTTTCAGCTTGACCGAGGTGCGTTTCTTGATCCACTTCTCCCTTGGCTGTCCAGGATGGAACGAGGCATTGTCCTTGTCATCGTTGGATCCCACAAAGGGTATGCCCTCGAATTTGCCAATTTGCCGCAGAATAAAAGCAATCACATCGGGACTCTCCCAATAGCTGGCATGGAACAGATGCGGCAGCGCATGGGCCGGGAAGTTGCTCAAACCCTCCGGACAGTACAGGGCATAATCCAGCCGCTTGGTGCCCCACCATTTGTTTTGAACTGCAAAAGGATAAGATGAGAGATTCAGGAAGATTCAGAAAAGGAGCTGAACTTACGGGCATGGATCGTGCTCAGGGAGACGTTCTCAATCAGACCCGATATCGTGCTCTGCATTGAGGCATCCGAGAGCCGGCGACCGGCGGCCAAGAGGTTATTGCCATCATTAAAGTGCTGCGGATGCGACTGAATCACCTCCACTGAAGGGGAAAAGAGATCATAATGATTAATTTAAGTGTTTCCAGCTAGAAAAGCCAAGTATAGAGCTTACATAAATGCAATGGCTGACCATTTCCCAGCGGATATTTGGCATAGCGCGGCACATTCACCGGTGACAGTATGGAGAACCGTGCGCTTAGCAATGGCTCCAGCCGGGAGGCAATTGGATCAGTTGGATGGAACAGATTGTACACCTGATGGCAGTTGGGCCTTGCCAATGCGGCCTTGGCATCATGCAGCTTCCGAGCGGCCAGGACCACCGATAGCGGTGAGCCAAACATGAAGAAATCACTGACCTCAAAGTCCAATTTGGTTCCACGTGAATCACTTGAGGAACTGGAACGACGACGACGTGGCGATGGTGCCACAAGCAACCTCTTGGCATCCAAATCGGCCTCTACAATGAAACGTTCCTCGTCATCCAGACGGGAGTGGCGTGCGCCCAACGGATTGTGGGGATTGATGTGGGCAGGATTACCAGTTCCATCTCCGCCAGAATTGGAAGCTCCCGAAGCGGTGCCCGGAGCACTGCCATTCGAACGGCACAGGGACTCGTAGGCCAGCAGCGAACCCATCGAATCGCCCAGCATCACAATCTGTCCGGAGAAGCCGTGACCCTCCTCCGATTTCAAGAACTCGTGATAGACTATATTGGCGGCAGCCACTGTCTTGTTCACCGTCTCCTGGAATTCCGGCGAGGCCACCGATAGCAATGGTATCGCCCCAATGGGTACATCGGCTATATTCGGTATATCCGCTGCCGAGGGTGAGGCGTCAAAGGAGTACGGACTCAGGCTGGAGAGAATGCCCAGGGCATCCGTGCAGATCGAGGGACACGGCACCATTTTGATGGTGACATGGGTCAGCAGGCTGGGATAGTGTTGTCGCATCACCGCCTCAAAGGAGCCCCGGAAAGTGGTCACATCGGATTTCTTGGCCGTAAGCTCACTGGCTGCATCCAGGACACTGCCTGCATGGACTACCAAAATTAGGATAGTGGTCGGGCATGACGGTGTGCTCGGTGATCCCGGGGGTGATGAGTCATGACTGCGATCCACACTGGCGGAGGAGCGCAACTGTCGTTTGTTACCACGTTCCGAGGCCACACGCATGAGAAAGTCCTGGTTAAAGATGCTGTCCTCTTGCCGTGAATTCCCGCGACCACTCACCGAGCCACCGCTAATGGGTCCGCCATGTGGCGGCGGACTGTCATCGCCCTCGCCCAGCAACTCCAGAGAGCTCCATTTGGCCAAAGAGTTTGTTTCATTGGTGTCTGTTGAAGGGAAATTAATGGGTTTATTAGTATTATGTTGGGCTAAAAATTATTATGAGTTTATTTTGACTTCTACTATATAGATTATTTAATATTAAAAATAACCATAAATTAAATTTGGATAGAAGAAAATCTCTCATTCTATATTCCTTGTACATTGCAGGCAAGGATGTGCAAATCTCTCTCAGAGAGCAGTTTAAAATACTCTCTTTCTCAATATTCCTTGTACATTGCAGGCAAGGATGTGCAAATCTCTCTCAGAGAGCAGCTTAAAATACTCTCTTGCTCAATAAATGGAAAGTTCTTTCGATTGAAAAGGAAAACTTAATAAATTAAATATATTTTCTCTTGTTCCATTTACATGAAAATGATACTTATAAATACGAAAATAATATATAGTAATTAATATAAAGACGAAAATTCTTACCTAGACAATCAAAGAATTCCTCATCCGAATTGGATTTAGAGTCCACTTCCAAACGCTCCATACGCCAATTGGCAACCTGTGGTTATTAATTAATTATAGATTAATTACTTATATTATTCCTATATATACATATATACTATAAAGATTATCAGCTAATATTCGCTACTGGCAGCTAAGGGAGCTAATACTGAGCGGCTTAAGCTTGGACTAATTGGAAAAATTGTAAGCTAATCAAGACCTGCAAACTAAGCAAATAACTATGGGGAAAGTCACTAAAAAGAAACTTTGGAGGGTACGTTATTTGGTTTAATTATCTTGATTATATATTTTATGCTATAATTAAATAAAAACTTTATAGAGGGGGCAAGGGGAGGAGAGCGAGAGAGAGGAACTTACATGTCTGCGTGGCGCTGTCTTTGCATGCGGCTTTTTTGACTATTTTTTTCGGATTTAGGTATCAAAATATTGTTTTGTTTTGTTTTTATTTGTGTTGAGTTGTTGTTGTTGTTGTTCGTTGGTAAATTGTGTGTTTAAATGGAAGGTAAATTAAATATTAATTGGTAGAGACGCAGCACATTAAAAGGACAAAGCCACGACACACAAAACACACAGAGGGTGAAAATGGAAAAAAGACACACAGAGTGAAGTTTGTTCTTAACTTTAATGGAAACATAAAGATTTTTAAACAATTTTCATAAGCTGTGAGTTTGGAAAATAATTTTAGATAGGTGATAAGTTAGTAACATAACCTTTTAATAACCTTTGAAGCTCAAAACACCAGTTTTTCGACAAATCAATTTTAAAATATCTCATAACTAAGCCAAAAAGGCTTCACTGCGTAACAAGCTTCTGCCTAAAATTTTAACACCCTGCAAGGGTATAAATATCAAAAGGGAATTTAACTCTGGACTTGATACCTATTTATCAATTTTAAATATTAATTAAACACAACTGATTATGGAAAACCTGTAAGTCAGTTTAAATTACATTCAAAAGTCAATTTACATGCCCAGATATATAAATAGTTTAATTAAAGGATTTAAAATAAGATGCATAACACCATACAATTTTATTGTCCTTAAACTTTTCAAGCGGGCTCTAGACCTGGCTCCAGGCTCTCTTAAAATGTTGTTTAAATAAGTTATTTAAATGAAAATTTAAGAGCATTATGCATTTTGTTATTATAAAGCCTTGGGCTTAATCATTTTTCAATTAATAAGTACAAAAAGGAGAGAGGAAGTTAAAGCCAAACAATATCCTTTTCAAAAAACAAACTCTGAAAGACAAGAAGAAGCTCAAAATAAATAAAAAGAGCTTCTTGTTCTTCCAGGTTAAGCGTGTCTTATTTACAGTTGAAGAAAAACAAGTTTATATCAAGAAGCTATTTATATACTCTTAAATATTTCCATTCCTACAACAATCACACCAAATTGACACTGAGAGTGAATAGCAAAAGGACAGAAAAACAAAGAAACAAAGGATCACTTGAAGATCAAAGGCTCACCTGAAGATCGAAGCTGTGGGCCGAGCCCACTGGCGAGTGGAGGGCACCCTTTGATCCAAATTTTGCCTTATTGTTGGCCATCTGAATGCTCTGGGATCGGGATCGCTGAGCAGAGGAGCTGCCCTGAGCGGTAGTCAGGTCAACGCCCCTGCCGATAGCATCATTCTCATCCTCATCATCATCCTCTTCCTCGCCCTCGCCTTCCTCCTCATCCGAACTGGCCTCGGCACTAGGTGGCTGTTGGGTGACAATCGGCGGTATGGCTGGAGCGGACTTCTTACGCTGATCACCGCCCGATGTGGAGGCAACGGCGGTGCTGGCCGCAGTGCTCATGTACGGCTCCGAAGTGCTATCTGGAATGGTGAATGGAACATCAGAAGGGTTTATTTTAAAGCTATAACTAAAGGTATAGGGAATACTCTTGCAAATTGTGGGTACTTTGTTAAAAACATCTTATAATGCATTCATTAATCTACTAGCCGGGAGCTAGCTTTATGTCATATTTTGTTCTTCTTCGCTAGGTATTTAGTGAAGGCTCACAATAACATCATCAAAAGATACGTTTAAACGATTTCTTACTGAAATTCAGGACATTTTCTGCTTCTTACTAACTATACAGTGTTAACAATGATTAGAAACCAATCTGTATATCTATATATAACCAAAAAAGACCACTGATATACAGGAATATAAACCCAATTGAATTGGAACAATTTAAAATACTTAATTTCTCTAATCATATTAACACGTTTTTTGTTACAATTTTGCAAGAGCATTTTGTGAGGTAGCTGTTGATGTCGCTGCCAAAATGATGGACTGACCATCACTGCATTCCTCTCCACCGCCCATCTTCTTGGCCAATGCCAGTTGCGTCTGCCGTTCCAGTTCGCGTATATCCTCGATGGTTAGGCCATGCCACTCGTCCTGCCAGGCCCATGCCTGCCGATGGGCTCTCAGCATCATTTTACGCAATGCCACATCGTGAATGAACTTCTCCAGCTTCGTCTGCATGCCCCAGTAACGGAATTCCACGCGACAGATCTTGTAGGCTGTCATCAGGGACATGTTCCTGGGCGTTGGCTGCATTTTCCCCTTCACCTCACGCCAGTATTCCTCCAACCAATCCTCGGGCAGTGGACCCCTGCCCGTCTTGTCAGAGACAAAATGCTTTGGATCCTCCTCCTTAACATAGTCGCCGCCCCACAGTTGATCCTTAACAATGTCAATCACATCTGGAAAAGTCACAAATAAGGTGTTAGTAAATCTTTAAGAAATGCTTTATGACGATTAAGTTGAGTTCAATGGGATACATATCGAGAAAGAAAACTTTGTGCCATTCCAAACCCCAGACTCACCCACAATCCGGTTGCGTAAATCACTTCCAGACAGCTGAAAGACGTTATCCTGATATCCATTATCTGGATAATAGTACGTCTCAATGTCCAGCGAAAACTTCTCCACAAAGGGGCAGGTGTAGCGGGTCCTGGTATAAGGATAAGCATTCCAGGCCTCCTCCTCCACAGTTAAAGCGCTCTTGGGCAAAAGACCTATGAACAAAAAAGGTATACAAATTATTTGCGAATGAAATTATTTACAAATAACCAGCAACTCACTCTTGATCCAGCCTGGCAGATGATTGCCCACATGATAGATCTTTTTGGTGTACTGGCCATTTCCACCAGGCCCATCCTTGTACGGTTCATTGATGATTATCTCAACGCCACTGCCCTCGCCATGACTCTCCTCGCGACTCTTTTTCTGTGTTTCAGAAAGGAAAATATATATATCCATTAAATACAGTTTAAACAAATTATACACATATCTAAGTCTATTTATATTCACAAAATGAAGCGGAACTATTGAGGAGGCTTCCGGGAACGAAAACGTTTAATAAATAATACAGCCAGCAAAGCCGTCATAACAAGCTAATGTTTGTAAATATTTGCCGAATGATGTGAATTGTTAAATAAACATATTGTCTATAGGCGTTCAAAGATCAATTGGCAAAATGTTTGACCTTTGCTTCTCTATCTTAATTAATTAATTAGACATTGTACATTTCAAATTAAAAATAAAATAGCTATAGGTTCATACATAATTCCAAAGATATTTATCGATCTAAAGACTCTATCTATTGGCAAAATGTTTGACCTTTGCTTCTCTATCTCAATTAATTAATTAGACAATGTACATTTGAAATTACAAATAAAACAGCTATAGGTTCCAAAGATATTTATCGATCTAAAGACTCTATTTAACCATGTTTATATTTCTTTCTTAATATTCAATCTTTAGGTTTTTTAAAGGATCTCCAATCTCCACTCACCGCAATCATGTAAAGCTGGGCAATGCGATATTCCTCAACGGTGAGGGGCAACGGAATGCGATACTCCTTGATCAACATGATGATGTCCTTGTTGTTTGTGTGTTTTCCAATCGGTGGAAAGCCCTTCGATTATTGCTGTCCTCGGATGTTCTTCTTATGGATCCACCTGGACAATCTGTTTCTTTCGCACTCTTAGGGTATGACAATCATCGATTTCCACTGGTCATGGCTGGAAGATGTAGTGGCGACGCTGCCTGGCGACGTCCGACGCTTAATGAGAGGAGAGGTGGTGGGGCTGCACGTCTATGACCTGAGCGAGAAAAGCGGAAAAGCGCAAAAGAGCGAGGTTAGTCTAATCCGAGACAGTGGTCTAAATACATATATATATATATATACTTTTTTCCGGGCTTAATGGTGCCACCTGGAAAGGAGGACGGGGACGACGTCAGGTCTAGTTGGTTTTGGTGGAAGGTAGTGCTAGTATTAGATGATAATATGGCTTCTCTCTTGTGCTAGTGTGACATTTAACTGAATGAGCAACTTGATGACACAACTAACAACACTAAAAAAAATGCTAAAGCCTAGACTTTTCGACTGACAAGATACCCATTGCTTTTATATTGCTGGATTGTAAAAACTATAGTATTAGGGAAAGCAAGATCGTGTCAAGACATGAATGTTTACTCAGCAAGTGTGACCATAGGTCCTGCATATCCTGCTTAATTTAATTCAAAGTATAGTTGCTTTTGCTTATAAAACCAAACAAAGAATGAATGAATTTAGTCTTAGAAAGTACAGTTACCCTAATCCCATCACATACTATAGTTAAATCTCCTTTTTATACGAATCCAGGTCAGTGTCAAATGGTCATTACAATGATGCGTGATATCTAAAATGTAAATTGCCATTTTATTTATTGATTTTGAGTGACACCCACACCCACACCCAACTCAAAGAGAGGGAAAGGAAAGGGTGTGTATATATAGCCATTGGACAGGCACTTCACATAATCGGATGTGCCTCGAGGGCTCTCAGAGGGGTTTGACATCAAGGGAGGGCGTGGCACTGTCAATTAAATGACAACAACAAACCAGGCTACAACAAATTGAGTGTCCGATAAGGTCAAAAGCACGGTCTCACATTTCATAGCAAACAGTGCTGCCACAGAGCTGGGTCATCTTTCATTGCCAACAAACACAGAGACTATTATTTTTCAATTTATATTTTATAGTAACATATACAAATTTCTTTTGAATATAAGAAATAAAAATTCTTAAATAGATTTTCTTATTTAAATCTGGACATCACTAAGCTCAAATTGAGCTTATCATGCATAATTTTGTTGTTCCTCATTTCTACCTTGAACTATTTCTACTTTTCTCTTTTATTTTATTTTATTTTATTTTGTTTTTATTTTTTTGCTAATTGGATTTATTGTTGACTGCTGACAGCAGCAATTCCTCTACACGCTGAACGGACGGACGGACAGACGGACGGACAGGCTTTATATAGGAAGTCTGACGCAGTTGCATCGCAGTTTGACCTATTGGAATGTCACAAAATCGAATTGGAGTGGGAGTAGTGATTGGGTGGATGTATTTGCGGTACTAATTGGGGCTTAAATATATAGGCTGGCAAACACGTGTTACACACGACTGATAATATCACCCATATAAAACAGCAACGGGTATTATCATTATGTCCGATAATAAAGTGATTGGTTCCCCACGTGCCATGTATAAATATGTATGAATAAGGTTTATTTTAATATAACTAAAAGTAGCAACAGGAGATATTGGTAAAGAGAAAATTTGTATATATTAATAGATAATTATATTTGATTTTAAAATGGATCAAATAAATGTTCATTAGGTTCATAACAACATTAAAAGCAGATATTGATTAAGAGACTTTGAATATATTTAAATAAAAACTTTCAAATATACTCCATTGCCTTTATATTTGATTAAAATATTTTTGTAATATTTATTATGTTTCTTTGGTTCCAATTTATATAGTAGAAACAGCATATATTGTTAAGAGAATTCAAATATATTGTAATAAATAATTTATTAAATATATGTCATTGCCATTATAGTTATATATCATGTATTTTGTATATTCATCTTTGATAAATTATTTTTTTTAATATATTATGATATCCTTCTTTGGTATATTTTTTATACTAATATATTATGTTACCTATTTATATTATTTTGTATATTTTTTAAACCACAATCTTTAGTTTGTTTTGCATTTAGTCTGTCATCACTGTAGTCACTCTTACTATCAACAACCGCCTTTCATAATGACCTTCATAAAGAGTCCTAATCTGTTTTTAGATCTTATCTAGCATTTATCTCGGACCACAAATTTGTTTAGCTACTAATTAAATGCATTCAATTCGCTTTTACCAAAGCCCAGAAGAGCTCTCATTTTAATTAAACCTTATTGTGTTGTAGGGAAATTAGGAAAATTGAAATGGGGGAAATTCTAAATTGATGGAAATTACATTCCACAGACAAACACACCTACAAACTTTAATACTACACAAAGTAGATAGTTCGTAATATATAAGAAATAAGAATACAAATTTGTAGATTAAGATTTTTAACAAGTGAAATAAATATAAGATATCTCTTGTTGCACTAGGATAATATTTAAATAAATCAAAAACAGACGAATGTACGTATTTTAGCTTTATTTTATAGATTTTAGATGCTGCCACAAAAAAACATTCCGTCAATCAATAATTATTGGAAATAGGTAGAAAAGGAGAAGGGGGAAAAAACAAAAACAAACCAGAAGAGAGAGAGAGAGGGAGAAGAGGTTGATAAAGAGGGGATGATGGGGACACCAGCCACACACAAACACACACACACACAACACATACCAGCACATGTTTATGTCATGGCAAACCTTAACAATATGGCCACCGCCTGCCTTTTCCGTCTCATTCTAATTTTCTTTATTTTCCTCCAGCACCACCTCCTCCTCCTCCTCCTCCTATTCGTCTACCTTCATAGCATAATTCTATTCTGTGGCACAGGAAAATGCGCCGAGACATTTTCTTTTGCTAGGCTTACCCTGGCCCAAAGGTAATGAAAACTATCCGATTTTTATAATTATAGAATTTTTGAGGCCTTAACTTCAGACTCCAAGTTAGGGTTTCTTTTCTAATTATTTAAAATGTACAAATATATATATAAATCATAGCTTTAAATCTTCCGAAACAAAATATAACTAAGAATATATTAACTCATAAAAGTCTCCGGTAACAAAAAGTTATAAATCTATTCAACAATGAGAAGGTACATTTATAAATTTCCTTTTATGTGCTCATTTAGATAGGGATATATGTATGATATGATATGATATCTCTACAAATCAAACAAATAAATTGCTTTATAAACAATAATAAGAAAGAAAAGGCTCTGCAGAGACACGAATTATTATGTATGCACATATGAACGTACTTGTATAGAGATACTAAATATAATGTCTCTTATACTAGGGTTATATTATAGCTTTGTCTTATAGATTAAACAATAAGCTTAAGCCATAAAAATAAGGTTGATAGAAAAGGTTGGACTTTTTATAGAACTTGTAAGTTAACTTGTGAAGTTTTTGACCAAAGATATGAATATAGAGGGTATTTACTATGAACAGTAAGTAACTATGATCAGTAAGTAATTAAGTAACTGTGATCAGCAAGTATCAATGTACATTAAGTAACTAAGGTCAGTAAAAAACTATAATCAGTAATTAACTATGAACAGCAAGTAACTATAAGCATTAAGTAACTATAAGCATTAAGTAACTATAAGCATTAAGTAACTATAAGCATTAAGTAACTATAAGCATTAAGTAACTGTGATCAGTAATTAACTAAGATCCGGAAGTATCTATGATCAGTATGTATGTATGATCGGTGACTAACTTTTAACACTAGTAAACAATGACTTGCAACTTTTGTAACACAACACATATCTGAGACGTGGCTGGTAGAAGTCACTTCGTTCCGGGGATGTTAGAACAAGTTGGGAATCATAAGCACGGATGTACGAGATTTGTTTTGGAACTAATTTAAGCTATTTAAATGAAACTATGAAGTTATTCTTCTATATGATTTTACTAGTATATAAGTCGAAGCATGGCAAATCGGTGGACAATATATATACATATATATAGCTGACATAGGAACAATCGGACGATTTATATAACTATGATCATCCATTAACTATGAGCAGTAAGCATCAATTAACATTAATTAACTAAGAGCTGTAAGTAACTCTGATCAGTAAGTATCTATGATCAGTAAATAACTCTGAACAATAAGTATCTATGACCAGTAGGTAACTCTGACCAGTATGTATGTGTGATCAGTGATTAACTTTAAACACTAGTAAACAATGACTTGCAACTTTGGTAACACAACACATGTCTGAGACGTGGCCGGTAGAAGTTACTTCGTTCCGGGGATGTTAGAACAAGTTGGGAATCATATGCACGGATGTGCGTAAGTAACTATGAGCTGTAAGTAACTCTGAACAGTAAGTATCTATGATCAGTAATTAACTATATGCAGCAAGTAATTATGAGCATTAAGTAACTATAATCAGTAATTAACTCTGAAGAGTAAATATCTAAAACCAGTAGGTAACTATAATCAGTAAGTATCTATGACCACTAAGTATCTATGATCAGTAATTAACTTTGAACACTAGTAAACAATGACTTGCAACTTTTGTAACACAACACATATCTGAGACGTGGCCGAGAGAAGTCACTTCGTTCCGGGGATGTTAGAACCAGTTGGGAATCATATGCACGGATGTGCGAGATTTGTTTTGGAACTAATTTAAGCTATTTAAATGAAACTAAGAAGTTATTCTTCTATATGATTTTACTAGTATATAAGTCGAAGCATGGCAAATCGGTGGACAATATATATACATATATATAGCTGACATAGGAACAATCGGACGATTTATATAACTATGATCATCCATTAACTATGAGCAGTAAGCATCAATTAACATTAATTAACTAAGAGCTGTAAGTAACTCTGATCAGTAAGTATCTATGATCAGTAAATAACTCTGAACAATAAGTATCTATGACCAGTAGGTAACTCTGACCAGTATGTATGTGTTATCAGTGATTAACTTTAAACACTAGTAAACAATGACTTGCAACTTTGGTAACACAACACATGTCTGAGACGTGGCCGGTAGAAATCACTTCGTTCCGGGGATGTTAGAACAAGTTGGGAATCATATGCACGGATGTGCGTAAGTAACTATGAGCTGTAAGTATTTATGATCAGTAATTAACTATGTGCAGCAAGTAATTATGAGCATTAAGTAACTATAATCAGTAATTAACTCTGAACAGTAAATATCTAAAACCAGTAGGTAACTATAATCAGTAAGTATCTATGACTACTAAGTATCTATGATCAGTAATTAACTTTGAACACTAATAAACAATGACTTGCAACTTTTGTAACACAACACTTGTCTGAGACGTGGCTGGTAGAAGTCACTTCGTTCCGGGGATGTTAGAACAAGTTGGGAATCAT